AAAATGACACAGTTGTGCTAAGCAACTGGGACCAGTTTCAAAGAGCTTCTTCAGCACAAAATTTGCTTAAGCGGGAAAAAACTTTGCTCATTAAACAAAGGTTACTAGTTCAAACTCTATCCGACTGTCATGCTAACCAAAACACAGGTAAATACAATCCCCAAACAATATACATCACATGGAGTTTTGGCTGGTTACCTGATTTATCAAGTAAGGTCTTTTTGCGCTTAAGCAAATTTTGTGCTTAAGCAGCTCTATGAAATTGGCCCCTGCCTTTATACTACATGTAGAGTCAGTCATCTTGAATTGCAAGTGAGGCGATTCTTGAACAATTTTCTTGCAACTCAATTTTTGTAGGAATGAAGTTGATAGTGCAGGAGCAAATGACAGACTTCCATCCTTGAGGTGCAACTGGCAATTCCACATTAAGTATATAAAGTCGTGCCATCTTTACTGTCCAAGTGAAAAACATGTGTTTCAAAGCAAGGCTATAACTGTCATTGTTGCAAAAATAGTTACGCTTTTTACCATTTCAGACGGTTTAATGAACGGAGTGGATTTGGGGGTATAATCCAAAATGGTCATCTTGTGAATATGACCTACTGCTATTTCACAATGGTGTAGCATCAGAATCACAACTAAATGTACATGGATGCATCAGCTTTAAAAAAATACAAGTAAACCATGATGTTTCCATCACCATGCAAAATAAACAATCCCATTTCCTTGTCAAATATGGAGTTGTTTTTGGCTTTTCTTTGCAGAAATGTCCATATTCAGAGACTCACGTTTGCATATTTGGACGCCTCCTCTTCTGACTGTTGTAGGAGGCCCTCCGGAGTCTTGTACTGGCTGGAGCGGCGTTCGTCAGCTCCAAGCGGGGTGGGGGGACTGGGAACCTTGTTGTCCAGGTTGATCAAGGCTTGGTTGGAGCTCAACGACTTGGTGAGGGGAATCACTCTGCAAAAAAAGGGGGCTACATGTGTTTATTTTGGGAAAAAAAGCCTAATCATGGGGCATTTTGCTGGCAACCTTCTTGAATCCTTTCACCAGCTGCAGATGGTATTGCTCTACAATGAACTTGCCCCCAGGCGTAGCTTCATTTTTGGCTCAGAGTAAACATCTTTGCAAAGTTGAACTTTACAAACGCCGACCCTTGGTGGTCAGTTGTCTCCGATTTTTGTGACATATCTCAAGCATTGTCACTGTAATACACTCCAACACAATGTCGCAAAGCGATGTTTGCAACTACAGACATTTGAGAGCTCCGCATACACGTATGGTCCACCTCCACAGACATGTTCAAGCCTCTGTGTGATCACTCATGCATGGGGACAAGATTGCACTGATCATCCAGAGAACTGCCGCAGCGTGTTCGCGCATCCATCTGGGTAATTGGCCCAGACACAGAAAGACGGACTTCACAGAGTTACCCATGAAGCCAACACCTTATACATGTAGGTAGCACGGCAAGGCAATTATTCACTGTGACAACAAGCTGTGCACAGCAGCCAAGGTCAAGGTTGGAGGTCTGCCTTATGCAGACCCCTTGAGGCAGGAATCCAACGCATTAAGGGCACAATTTGTTGTGTTGGGTAAAACAGGACCGAGTTGCGGGGACACTTTGCTGGGATTAGCATTATCAGAAAAACAGCACCCAGCAGTGACTCAGGGCATGTGTGGCAGTTTAACTGGTCAGCTGATCCCCAGCAAGAGGATTACCACATCATGGTAATAAATCCCCAGGAACAAACTGGTTAAACGTTGCATTTCAATGTGGTCCTTATGAGGTCTCAGAAACTTAGTTTCTGTATCAGCAAAGTCAGAAAAATATACAGTCCAACCTCGCTAATAAGAGCACAGTTAATACAAGATATTCTGCTTAAACCAAGGACATTTTAAGGTCCCAATCCTTCTTTTTTTCATTGTTTTCATTCCTGATAATACAGGGTTCCTGTTATAACAAGGTACATGTAATTTGCCAAGTCGGAAGGACCTCTTATTAACAAGGTTGACTGTACATTGTTGCCGTGGTGGTTGGCAATGCCATGAGTGATTTCAGGCACAGCAAGCAGTCCCTGAAAAACTGACATTGAGGGCGCTATTTCAAATAGAGCCTAAAGGGATCAGCCTCAGAATATAATGTGTAAACTACAAGTGCATGTATTCAGTGTTGCATGTAAATCAAGCACACACACTCTGCGTTTGACAACCTCTGGTGCAGTTTGTTTACAATGACCACTTGGCATGACTACCATACATGCAAATACAGTAGAACCTCGCTATAACGAACAAGGCGGGGTCCATGCTAAATGTCCGGTACAGCGAATTTAACTGCCGAACGTTTCGTTGCCATGATGAACAGTGCCCTCTCTTGTCTAACCGAAGTGCACCCTCTTGTGATACCTTGGATCGCTGTTTTCGTTATGTTTTGCCGTTGCATTCAAGTTTAAGGTTTCTAGAAATGTATCTGTTAATTATTTTTGCTTTTTATTTAAACTTGAGTCAAAAAATTGATATAACGTTTATCCTAAAAGTCGTGAAACTACCGCTCAGGATCAATCTCTGATGCATGCTGTGGCCAATCTTGGTTGATTTGTGTATCAGCGGCGCCCTCTTTAGACTATTGTTAGTGCAATGCCACCGTGCGCGTACGTGCAGTTTTCTTCGGCACCCGATCCATGTGGAGTCGCAAAACCAGTGTCTATTCAATACCGTTGACAACTAGTGGCTTTCCCGTCTAATCCTTGGGAAAATAATGGCCACTTGTCACTTTCCAACATAAAAAAACACCGACTGTTTTATCAGGTTGACGTTCGGGAATTACAAACTGCAACTGAATAGTGTTCAGTAGGCTCTGCGCACAAATTACTGGGATCCAAAGACGATGTTCGGTACAGCCGAATGTTCGGTATAGCAGTGTTCAGTATAGCGGCGTTCCACCGTGCTACGGTGACCATTTCTTCACAATTTATACCCCTGGAAATGGAAATTCCATCGGCAGACCCTCTTGAAAGTTTTTAAACAGTCCTTCTCTAAATGGAAGGTTCGATTTTTTTTGGGGAGGGGGTAGCCTTTTCATCTCTTGTTGTCTTTTACTCCTAATACTTTTCATTTATTAGTAAAATGCTGTAACTTTTGCACCGGTACAGCGCTCTCAGATATCTGTGACATGGAAAATGTTTTTAAGTGTCAATTTCAATTTCAATCAATTGGAGCTAAACCAAAGAATAACGGAGATGTCTTTTTATAGCCGTATCTGGCCTCAGTTACCTGTGCACTGTCCATGTATCTGACTCCGGTGCCTTCTCTGTGTAGTTCCCCGGGAACATTCCTGTCAGGCCCGTCTGGTGGGACGTGCCCTTGTACCAGCCGTCGTTGCTCCCTGCCCGGTTGTCCGCAGAGGACATGAAGATGTAGTCGTCCGGGATAAGCTCCAGCTCGTCCTGCGCCCGAGGAGTGTGGGAGTACAGGACACGTAACACCTGGTAGTAAGCAGGGGAAACTAAAATATAAGTCTACTACTGTACCAAGCGTTGACTACGGCTTAGAAAGCTACGTGTATAATTCTGGATAGTCCGTACACAGTTCGAATATTTCAAATACGTGGCGCTTCTGGTCTAAGCGCATTAGCGAACGATTCATCCAAAGGGTTCCATCACTTTCATTCCACTCGTGTTTATTTTTGACCCCAGCCAATGAGCAGGGATGAAGATTATATTCAACCACTGAAAGTGTACACGTAGAACGAAATGAGTTTTTTCTCCAGTTTTCTCAACTTCGTGTATGAGAAAACAAGGGAATGCTCAAGGGAATCTAAGCTATAGATTTTCAACTGAATGTGTACAAACCTACACGTACCAGTACAAAATGGCAGACACGAGACTGATGCCCTTGAGCGTGGTCCCGTCGTGCAAATGACACTTGACCCTCAAAGAGCTGGGTTATTTGGCCCATCTCACAACCCCCCCCTTTTAGGGATAAGTGTCCATCAACAACATGTGGGCTCCCAAAAGAATCTAGAAACCAAATTCCACAACTCTTCCAGGACTTTCAAGGAGTAAAATATGACCATCTCCTTGCAGAGGAAACTGGGACACTGCCACTGTTACTACTTTAGACCCACAAGGCCCGCAGGCCATCAAAATAAACCTTTGCATGAACTTGATTTCCATGAATTTTCCATGACTTTTTCCACTGAGAACAGAATTCCATTCCATTCCAAAAATCTTGATAAAGAATTCCATGACTATCCTATTGTTCCTCATTTTCCTAGACTGTATTTCATGACTTTCTGAGACAACGTTTTGTCCAGATTTTCATACGACCTTGGGAACATTAAACATGAATGAATGACAAAATATGTGCAAACTAATACCACAACACAGTTTTGGCTCTGTGCCAGAATATGGCTGCGGTCTAGGGTCTTCACCCTTTGCCTGGCCATTGCCTCATGTATGCAGACACACATTCCTTCGCTGTATCCATTACCTCTGTTTTTGCAGCCCTCGGATCTCTGGAGTACAGCCTGAGCTCCCAGCGGGCAGCAGCCTTGATGTCCACCTCATTGGACAGCTTCTCCAGGACGTCGTGATGTGAGGTGTTGAACTGGTAGGCCAGGGTCATGTGCAACTGCTTCTTATGTGGGTCCACCTTCACACCTGAAACCAGATCATCATACCAAAGGGGTGATTCACAGTGCCGTGCGCCACCAAGAGGTTGTCACGGAGAGGCCTTTTCGTAGTGCGTTGTGGAATAAGTAGTTGACAAAGCCTCATTCATTAACTGCACTGTGTGCGGGAAACTTCAATTCTTCTTCAATTGCAAACGGGTGTTAGGTACTGGTAGTCAACATTATGGTTTTGTGTGGTGTAGGGAACGCCTCAATCAATTAAATATCCCTAAGTTATGTACCAAAGTGGGCTCAATTGCAGCAGCGTGTCGAACTGCAATCAATGAACATTTATTATGTGTACAAGTACCCAACCCTGAAAAACATGTACTGCACACATTCTGAGGAATGGTTACCAGAAGAGATGAGTTCTTAAAACGTGTAATTGAAACAACTGCAGTCCAGTGTGTATGTGTGTAAACTCTCAACCACAACTCAGAGTAGGCCTACTGTCATCACCTGCTTTCTTCAGAGCTTCAGCCTTGAAGTGATTGGTCAGTATTCGCATGAATTCGGCGTGCGTCTCCTCCACAAACAGACCAATGAAGTTGGCCGAGGAGTAGTGCTCCAAACTGACGGTCTCGGGGGCCTTGTCCTCCAGGGACTCCACAGCCTCCAGCAAGGCCACCGTCAGCATCTCCACCTTGCTATCCTCGCACTGGCCGCAGCCAAAAACAGATATGAACAAAGAAGGCAGCATCTGATTTAACGTCTTCCAAGTTTGTTCAGAATTTGTAATGTGGCTAGGTGAACTTTACAGGATTGATGAGTGATTGATGATGTACATCACCAGGTTTTTTTTTGGGGGGGGACACTTTTTGGGGAGGGGGGACAAAGCATTCATGAATCAGCCAATAACAGACAAACAACTAAAAGTGGGAGGGGGAATTTTCAGGTTTGTTTCAAGCAAATTGGTGACTTTCATCCCTCTCCATTCCCAATTTTTTTTCATCTGTTTTGCTTCCCCCTTTTTTTCCCTTTATTTTTCATTCCCCCCACCGGGGGGGGGAGGAAAGTGTGTCACCTTCACTTACAACTGTCAGATTGTGTTCAAATGTTTACGCACATGTACATTGTGTACACTTGGACATAATGCTTTGGTGCGATGGTGCATCTTTACATCAGCAAGTGGGGGGGGGACGGTGAGATTTCACTTACAGGAAAGAAAGAGCATAACGTGACGTGGGGCAGGAGACTGTGGGCCCCGTTCCGCCCGCAGTGCTGCAGGGAATTGGTCCAGAACTCATCCAAGGACTCCCCCAACGGTCCCACTGGGCAGGCGTACAGCACGTACTCCCGAGGGACATTCTCGTCCAACATGGGATCATCCACATGGTCCAGTAGCCTGGGAGAACAGTGGCAGAAGAGGAATAAGGAATCACAGCCTGACAAATCTAGACTAATAGCATGCCCCTCCCCCTAAGAGCTGGGATAAAGTCCCTGGCCCAGATGCCTCCTCCTGAGTCAACGCATACATGTATCGTGCCTTTAATAATATCTTTGTTATTCATTAAGAAGAACACAATAAAGGTTGAGTGATCAACAAACAACTACTAACATTAAACATTTTGGACAACGAACTTATAGAAGGACCCAAATGAGCAATGTGTAATACACCTCTCAGCCCAGATCATTGTGACATGAATGGAGAGCCTTTTTGTTCGGTTGCCAAGGTACTGTAATGGCCACGACACAAAGTCACTCAACCGCATCAGTATACTTTCGAAATGGGCGTTTCAGCTTAGGACCGACACTGTGCCCATTTGTCCAATGCCCCGCATGATTCACACTTATAATACTTCTGCCAACACAGCTCACATGTACCGGTACCTGTATGTGCATGTAACAGCCTGCTTATTACATCTGGGTTATTCAATGAAGTTCGGGCACAGTTTGTGACGGCGTCCCTTGTTACATTAGTGAAAATAAATATCTTTTGTTCCTGGATGTGGATTCTAAATAGACATTGTTCTAAATCTTGCTAAGTTCTTGTAGTGGTGTGCTTCATCTTTGAGGAATAATATGACTTAATCTGTTGTAATGTGAAAATAAAGAGCAATAAAAGTTACCGATGTAACAAGGGACGCCGTCACAAACAGTGCCCGAACTTCAGAGAATGACCCATCTCCATGTACGTGTATACGGCACACCCTCACTGCAGTGCAGCAGACAAATTTTCACCACACTTTGACCGTTCATATTAAAGCAACAATGATGTACATGTACTGTACATCCAGCAATATACATGTATTTGTAGTGTAACAGAAGCCCCGACAGAACAGAAAGTTCTCAGAACTTCTAAGCACGTAGAAAACGGAAAACAAAAATCAGAAATCCAATCCTAACAAGTAGGCCTACATGTACATAGACGTACATGGACGTACAATGTACATGTACCGGTACGTGCATGTACATGTACTAGACAAAATCAGGGGTGAGATTAACCAATGATAAAAATAGCTGAAAACAACTGACAAATGTCATAAAAAAGCTAAACTGTGAAAATCTCCTATACTTTTGTACACAGCCAGTGAGAGAAAAAAGCTGAAATCCCCCCCCCCCACAAAAAAACTGTAATCAGGTAAAAAGCTGAGAAACCTTACCCCTCAAAAATATGAACGTACAGTACCCGTAAAAACTATACCAAAAATCCCAAGTCAGCAAGTACTGTACATATGCAGTGCATACTCTACATGTAGATGAATACTCAGTAAGTCCTCTGGCTCCGTGTTTCATCAACAGATCACTTGTTTAATCATGACAAACAATGATCACATCTGTATATGTATCTTACATGTAAATCAGAAAAATTTATACATGTATGCTATACTAAAACCCAGTGAAAGATGTTGTACACGTACATGTACATGTATCTTTCACTATTCTCTAAAATCAGTGAAGTCTCACAAGTCATTCCCTATGGCCCCACTTTTGACAGAAACCACCACGTTAGGTTTTGTATGGAGTGGCCGTTGGGAACATTGACTCAATACAACGCTCACCACCACTGGTGGAACCCCACAAATGACAGGTAATATATATATACATATACCATAGCATTACCACAGTCGCCTGACTCATCCTTCCCTGTTCCCAAGGCATGTCATTCTAATCTCTACAAACTCAAGACTTTGATAAAAAGCATCTTCCCAAATGCAAAATCAGAACCGACCCAGTACCTTTTTTCTCCCCACTAAAAGAAACACATGAACTGATCCAGTAAAGCAGGATATAGAGTGATCCTTATCACACCTACTGGGGGAAGTGGTCTGCATTGAATTTGCACAGGCTACAGGGCCTTCCTCTTTTTCTGGTAGCCCCTCCCCCCCGATACCGGTATATCGAAACTCCAAACATGTACAGAGGACCAGCCTCTACAACACGTCGTGCGGATGCATTTTACTTTCAGTTATTAGTCTTGATCAGATTTATTTTTTTAATAATGCTCTTCGCTCTTCCTGGGACAAGACCACAAATTGTGCGGACCTGTCGATAGCAAACATTAGTGTGAGTTCATATGAGCTTTAGACACAGCCTTGCGGACTTTTCTTCTTTTTTGTTTTGGTGGGGTGGGAGGATTAAAGGGCACATAACACAGGACACAAGGATAATTTAGAGGAAACAGTCAACACGGAGTGCAATATGTTTGCCATACCACGATTACAGGATGTGTCAAAATGCAGGAAACTTGCAAACTCCACATATATCCACCTACGTGTGACTACTGACTACTGATGTAAAGATTAAGATGTTACATGTACTAATCACAAACATGTACATGTACCGGTGCATACATGTACAGTACTGTACAAGCTATTATTGGTCATAATGTGGTGTTGTCTACTCTACCGGGATGATACTGGGACACAGCTAGTTTATCTTGTCCCATGCAGCATCTACTACAACGAGTACACTTTTGTCTACATACTGTGCACATGTACTGTGCACCACTCCCGCACCATAGTTGTGGGGACATACCAGTGCATGTTCACTCGACATTTCAGCTACTGGTGTTTTATTGGGACTGAAAAACATGGTGAGGACTCAGAAATGTCCTCACAACTCAGTTCAAATTGCCCGAACAAATGAACTTATCCTCTGAACGCGGTGAATACCTACCCATCCATACATGTATATATCGGTGTGTGTGTACCTGTACATGAACACGACAGCAAGTTTTCACAAACTCAACCGTTGATAACTTACATGTACATGTACATGTATGCTCTCTTGAAAACTACATGCAGGGTTGAAAACCATACATTATATACATGTAACCAGCAGTCTGACCAAGTATTACATGTAGTTTTCTGAGACATTATGTTGTTGTTTTGTTTTGTTTTGTTTTTATGGCGCTTTCAGCAACTCAGGCTATTTGCGCCAATAACTGTACGTTTATTCATACACTTTATTAATCAGCATCACATTACGGAGTTAGGAAGAAGGTCCAGTTTTATAGAGGCAGGAGGAAACCGGAGTACCCGGAGAAAACCTGCGACAGCGAGTATGGACTGGAAACCAAATGCACTTAAAGCCTGACCCAAGGCGGGACTCGAACCCGGTCCTCATTGGTGCAAAGCGAGGCAAGAACCGCTACGCTAACCCACTCCCCCTTCTCAGATATTATTCCAAGCTCTAGTAGATTTATGGAACCATTTGACAATGCTCGTTTTGGTTTTTTTTTTCCATTTTTCCTCAATTAAATATGCATCCACCCTCTCTAATTTCACCTTTTTACCAGTGTTGTTTTTCTTTTCAACATCCTGTTTTGAATTTCAATTGTTTTTCTTGGATTTGGTGCAAGAATACACGGGTAAAATGATCCCAGCTGGCCTTTAGCCCCATGGATCAGAGATATTTGTGGATTGAAAAAGAATTTAACAGAAAAAAGTCACGTTGTCAAAAATACATATACTTTTATGGCCTATCTTCACAGACGATCTGCAGTAGAATTCTCCATGGTACAAACCATGTACATGTACCCAGTACACGTGTATCAAACAGTCCTTTCCTATGGGATTGCATACACTGAAAGAAACTGTGCGATATACATGTAGAGTGTATGTTGCACTGTCGTATAGACAGACACTGGGGAAGATTTTTTAAAAAGAGACAGTGAGACAGTGCCATTGAAGAAAGTGCGTCCTGGCGAATCATCAGTGGTCTCATTAGTTACGGCATCAACCGACTGGCATGCTTCTATAGATTGCACCGTCAATTATCCCTCAGGGGCACTTTAATCTGTTTGAAGTCAATTTGCTTGCTTGCGTATCCTGTTTCTGTTCTGTGTGTGTGCAGTGTACAGGTCCACATCACTCATCTGTGTAAAATGGGCTTGTCCTAATTTACTTGGGTGTGTCTGATAAATTTTTTTTATGCCTGAATCCGTGGTAATGGCTGTAGCCACTTCCCATACAGAGTCAACCATGCATGTTGGTAGTGATGGTTTATTACTACTTGCAACCAAAGGTTGGATTGAGATACACAAAACAGTCTAAAAACACCATTTCAGCACCTGTTCAAAATACATGTACAATATTTCAATACTCAAGCCTTAAGTTCAAATTGCTAAAAAACACCAACACAAATGAAAACAGAATCCTCCGATTTATCTAAAACCAACTGTAAGCAATGTAGACATCTTCAAGGACTAAAACTACTTGAATTTAGACAAACACTCAAGACTGAGATAACAAAAAGGTTACATTTGACAAATACAACGTGAGGAGTAACAGAGTCCAACCAACTCTACAGAGCAAACTGGCAATTAATCACATAAGGAATTTGCAATGTAATGTCAAAGTGCAGATGAGTAACTGGGACACTGCCTTATTAGTCTGAGAACTCCACGCGCAAGCCCAATGCACAGGCATATAACTTGGACTTGACAAAAAAAAACAGGAAATTCCAATCATTACAAGAGATTGAAGACTTTGTACAGTGTTCTGTAAAAATTTTCAGTGGCATGAGTGTGGAGTGAAAAATGACGAAATCGGATGATTTGAGGAAACGTTGCATGCCTAAATGTAAACTACATGTACTAAGGGCACAAATCAACGTACCAGTCGGATGCAAGTTGGATGTCCTGATGGCCCGTGGCTGCTAAAGCCTTTTCTCTAGAAATAGGGAAACAAAACAGACAGAATTTCAGACAAAACAGAAAGCAAACAAGTTGTGTTAATTCACAAACTAAATGTAAGTACATACATGTACAAAATATCACAAAACGTTGATGATATATCCTTTCAGAGTTCTGTGTGACAGGCATTTTTGAACTCCGAAATCTATGAACCTTTTTCCTCCCTGCAGGAATCTTCAAAAAATCCCCTGGCAAAACCAAAGATTGTACAGCGTTGAAAGATGGAGAACTTCATCATGAATATGTGTAAAACATTGTTATTGCATGGGCGCCATTTTGGTACATGTACATGTAGGACTTCCTTATGTTAACGCAACAGGTGCAGGTGCCGTGAGAGGAATGCAGACCTGGTATGCCTGCGCCTATACATGCATTAATGTTCACACTGGAATTTCGCCCATGGTGATAACACCTTTTTGGCTGAGTTCTCCATCTTGCCCCGCCAAGCGAGGCTATACAATCTTTGGGTGAAACCTCTTTTAAAACGTTTAAAATTCCAAGATACATTAGGCGCTACATCTACAGAGTGTAGGCCTACATGTACATGTAAATACCAGCCTGCCTGGTTTTTTCCCACCATCCCCAGAACACACAGTGAAATTTCCAAGCCAAGGTGAAAGGTTTATGATGAACAAAACCGCTTGCAAAGTTTCACAACTAGAACCAATAACAGCTAGAGTTGCAATTCCATTCTCTGTATGATGGTCTGATTTACAATGCATGCATCCAACTAGAAAGGACGCCCAGCAATTTACAAATTTGCAATTTAGTCATCATTTGTTTTTTAGCTAACTGTAAGATACATTGTGCACAAGGACACACAAACATGTTCCTATTTTGACATGTACAAGTATACAGTCATTTGAATCCACAGCTGATGGTTCTCATTCATCAACAGTCCTGCACAAAAAGAAAATCTGGAATACACAAAGTACTGGTGCAAGTAGATTGACATGGCCCATACAATATGGCCTGTGCTTACCAGGCACTCAGCCATCACACTGAAGTGTTGAATGATGGGGACCGAAACCTGACCTGAGATTAACCCAAAATTTATTAACCTTAACCTACATGTAGACTGTGAAGGACATCTTACAGTAGCAAGCACAGGTGCAGTACACAATGTGTGGTATATGTACAGTACATGTACACATGTATGGTCATGATGGTAGGTGGGCAAGTACACGTGCATGTGCATCTATGCAGTGTGCTGCTATTCTGTACACTGTAATGTTGCTTTTTCTGGGTTTCACATTTCCTGTATAAGTTGTCCTCATTTTACATGTATAGTACATGTACATACAAGTCCGTGTGGCTCGTCAATTATCTGGTTTTTATACCCCTTTGTCAGCCAGGTTTCTGTTCTGATCATAATACAGTCAGTAACTATGGCAACCTGGTTTCAGATGTCACAACCACTGTCTAAATTAATGCTTGTTTCATCATCCCATAAAGGTGCTAACAATGCATAATGCAAATATTTGCATGTTCAGCACATCCAGCAAAGTGTACTAAGCAACCAAATACTGTGATTTCAGAGTTTGTACATTTACCGTAGTTTAGTTGGAAATGTCAGGAAATGTACACTGTGCGTGAATGATTTGGTACGAAATGAGGAAAAGGGAAAGTGCCTCCCCAAAAAACAAAAGTTGGTCTGAGTGGGGGAAGAAATTAAAAAGCAACACCAGAGCCAAAGAAAATATACAAAGGAAAGTAGGAAACTGATGTGAACTTTTGGAGCATGAATCAAACATGTAGTGAAAGTATGTATATAGGTGAATAAGAGAAAAGGTGAACTATTCCAGAAGTAAATTTATTTTGTGTATACATTTGTACATATGTACATGTATGTGATTGTACATGTACATGTACATTTATACATGTACACTGTAAACATGAAAAATTTGGACTTCTATTCTACAATGCATTACAATACAGTGGTCAACTCAAGGATGTAGGTTAACCCCCCCCGGGTTACTCCCCCCTCCCCCGCCACCACCATCTTCAGCTACTGTGCTGACACTGACAAAAACGTTGGGCCAATGGGTGATTTTTCTCAATTCTCACACTGCCTCAGAATGACGCTGGAGGAAGCATCAACGTTTGTGATGTCGGTCAGATAGGAAGAATGACCCTGAAGATGCCTCTTCACGACGTGTGCTGTTGGTAGAGTTTCTTATATGGGCATTGTATGCACACACACTGTACCAGTACATGTACACGTCAGGTGGGCGCAATGGTCCTTTCTTTGCCTTCCACCTCTGCGGTCCAGGTTCGAATCCCGACTCGGTCCACATGTGGATTGGGGATTCGATTACTACCTGATTCCATGGGTTTTACCCAGAATATTCCTCTGGGGTTTCCCTCCCACCTCTGACACGGTAACTGCTTCTCACTGTCTCCTCTCTACGGGTTTCTTCAGGCTACAGTGCCTCGGGTACACGTACATTATTGAGGAATCCTTGGTGTCATTGCCAGACATTATGTGATCACACATGTAATAATAATAAAAAATAATAGTTAAATAGCAGAACATGTACCAGATCCACCTCGGTACAACACATTTCCGCATTCTCTCTCAATTTCTTCAACCACTTGTACAGTAGCGATAAATCACTTTCTTTTCAACTTTTTGTTACAACTTCATTTTATTTCATTTTACACATGCACGTGTAACCGAGGCCATGTTTTGTGCATCCACGATTATCAACACTTGCACACTAGTACGTTTGTATACAGTGGCAAGCACTTCACTTCCTCGATTGCAATTCCCGTGTAGGCCTATACGTAGGCATTTATTGAAGAAAATGGCATAAAATATTGTAAAGGAAGCCAGTAAGTTAAGATTATAATTTAGCAGCATTGCCCTGACAGTGTGAGTTTGAAATTTAATTTGAGCACTCCGTGTAAAGCTGGATTCTCCCTGTACGGTGCCAGTACGGAGGCTACAGTGGATTGAAACAATCAGGTTGGTTTTACATGAATGCACCCACATGTACATGTATACCATACATGCACACGCATCCATGTCCATGTACATGTCCATGTCCATGTCCATTTCAGTCTACGGTACTCCTAACAGACCAGTGCAATTTGTGCGGTTCACCTTTGACTTCACTCAAACTACATGTATGTATACCCCGCACAACCCATGCTTTCAACTGTTCTTGGGTGGCGAAATATTAGCGGAAACTTTGACTGTTCGGAAAACACGTAATAGAGTAATTCCAGACGTTAGGGGTCCATTTTTTTTGGTATCCCTGTCACATCTGACATATGATTTTGTAAGTTCAGAACCAAATTTTCTAATTTCCAAGAGTGATGAATTAATGCAAATTATCTGCCAAACAAATACATGCAGCAGTAGTTCGAAATCAATTCCGGTGATATTTCCAGGTCAAATAACAACAGTCAGATGTAACAGGGATACAGTTCTAAAAGTCACACTTTTGGACCCCTCATTTTTGGAATTACCCTAGGCCTACATGTACTTGGTAATCATGGTTCCCTTGACACTGCAGCTCTACTGGTACGCCCTGCACTGCACAATTCAGATGGGCGTCTGAAATTGTCCATTCATCTTTTGGACCATTTTGAAAACCGTATCAGTTTAAGGCAGATTTTGAAACAGTAAAGTGTGGTGAACTGTATTAAAGTCCCAAGTTTTTGTGCAACCCTACCCACTGACTTCACGGTCCAGGCGTTGGGTCAATGTCACGTTTCCCATTCAGCAGTCATTCCCTCACCAACAAAGTACCAGTAGCCACCCAACCGATAGTATTATATCTGAAGAGAGAGGCATTCTTTTGTTCATGGGCCTGTGATCACTTAAAGTTGAAGTTCTGTCATATTTTCAGGGGTGTTCACAAACATTGTTGTAAACAGAAATCATTGAAAATGCCGCAATGGTATTCAGCACCCTCTCTATTCCATAAAATGTGCTGCAAATTCTGACCACAAACTGTGTCTCAATAAAGAATTGTGGTGCTATAAATTTCATTTAAATGTCATGAATATTTCATGAGGGCAAGCCCCAATCAGTGAACAGCACTGCTTTCCCATGGAGGCCCTCAAATTTACAACTTGGATTGAAGGCTTCCATGTACAAGGGTGCCTCGGGCAACCACTAAATGACCCATATCTGTAGAGAGGAGACGGTGAGAAAAAGCAGTTACACTTTTAGAGGTGGGAGGAAAACCCCAGAGGAATATTCTGGGTAAAACCCACAGAATCAGGTAGGGACTGAAAACCTAATCCACATACGGAACTCCAGGAAAGAACTACTATGCCAACCTGTACTGCTTGGCTGCTGACTATACATGTACATGTTTCTGTGATAAAAAAAACATACACGATGCAAATGCTTTCCTTAAAACAAATTTACTGGTAGTTCAATTTATTTTTTGTGATAAAAAAAAATACACGATTCAAATGCTTTCCTCAAAACAAATTTAGCTCCAGTTATTTTTTCAGAGAAGCAGCTCTTTCTGTAAGCTGGACTACTCTGCGCTACTGGATGATGCTGAGATGGACATTTTAAGTCCAAAAAGTTATGTCCTGAATTCCTGTTAAACGATAAATTATTATGAACGACATCTTTACTACATGTAACTGGACAAAAGTCTGAATTTCCAATAAGTCTGAATTCTATCTTGTGGGGGGGGCTCCAAACAGTTAGATTCAAAGATGAGTTTGCAAATCACACACCCCCACTCATCCTTGATGGTGAAGTACACTCTACCAGTAACAGGGCTAAAACCCTGGACAAAGAATTCAATGTTGTGCAGTTTACAGACATAACATGTACAGTGTACATGTACATGTACACATGTACACTGTACATGTACACATGTACATGTATACATGTACATTGTACACGTACACATGTGTACATGTATACATGTACATGTACACTGTACATGTACACATGTACATGTATACATGTATATACATGTACACTGTACCGGCAAACTAAGAAGGCAACATACATGTACATGTACACGTGTACATTGCACAATTTATGTACATGTATGCACATGCACACGTATACATGTACTGCGTCATACATGTACATGTATGTACTGGCCAGTACGCGCACATGTAAACAATGCTTCAACAAAGATTTCAATGCACAGTTCACACTGTTGAAGGTGTATAAATTTACAAAATAATTTGCAAAAGGTCAAAAGTGAAATTTTACATTTGCCTATTTATGTAGGTTCATACATGTATGTGACTGGCTCTGCAAAAATGGCCCTTGGGCTTAACTATGACAAACTGATTTTAAGTGATTCCCAGGGATAGAGAAGCACTTTAATACGGATTAAATTTGTGCATTTTTGACCTCTGTTGCACATTTTATTCCCGAAATACACTAAAATTTAGAGTGGATCTCTGGCAGACGTATGGAATGGTCAGTTACATACAGAGGCAGAGTATGACTTATGGGCCTTTTTGGCAGAGTGGGTCACATTAAGGACTATGTATGTACAGTGTACTGGGTACATACATGTACATGTACATGTCGGCTGTACACATTTTCCAAGTGTATGTATAGTACACAATTTACATTTTAAAAGCAAAATTTTGCATGCAGCATTCAGATCTTTAGCACTTTATCAAAACCATCACAGAAACTGAAACCATTCTAAAGCCAGACCGGGTGTCACATTGAGAAAGTCTGAAAGAGGGCAGTGACTGGCCACTTGCCTTCCGCCTTGACTGAGTGCATTTGTTGGACTATTGTACAGTCAGCCACATACATGTATGTACATGTACATTGTACCTGGTACACGTACATTGAACAATATGTAGGCTACGTGTTTCTGCTACCCTAATCAATAGAGGGAAATACCATATACATGTAGTAAAAAAATGGTGGAAGGGCGTGACCTTATTGTCCGAAGCCATAAAATACAATAGATTTAGACAATGTACATGTACCATACAGTGCTCTGGCACTATGAATGCATAACTTTATTGTTCTCTGTACAAGTGACAAAAGAAGTGCCCTAGCCAGAGGTAGTAATTTGTAGCGCTAGGTCCTTCAGGCTCAGAGTACTACGGTCCGTGGTGTTTTGTAGTACTGAGTTCTGTAAAGTGTAAGCCAAATAATGCTTGGGGGTTAGGGCTGATTGAAAGTTCCCGACTGAGAGTCCATTACAATTTTACGTATTCTCCTGGTCCCTCTGTATATACATGTATGCAACATTGATAAACTTAATTTAAATGACAACTCCTGTTTTTTTTCCTTTGAGGGATAATCCAACAGAAATCCTGGGATGAATACCCGGTACCTAGAACTGAAAATGGTAATTGATGGAGGTGAAATTGATGCCCAGAACAAAATCACTTTTGCCCACAGGCACAACTGTATGTGCTATATGTTGTTGCCATGCTAACTGCTAAAAAAAATGTATCCCTACTGTAGTTAATAGGCCTACTTCATGTGTGTACAATGTACGTACATGTACCCTTTACTGCCCAAGGATTATGTGTGTGGAGGGGGGAGGGCCTTGGTCACCTTTTCAGGCCCAAGGCAAGCCAGAGTGGGGATTTTGTCACTGTAAACTGTAGACATTTGTTACCATTTCCAAAGTAGAAAGGCAGCCCCATGGGGCGCAGACTGACTTGGTCATTTCCAGTTCCAAAAGCATCCAAGTGTGAATGGGGAAGTGGCCAACAAAAGAAAAGAGCCACCAAGTTTGTTTGTTTTTTTTTAATTGAGAAATAGTAGGTATTTTGGGGGTCTGATGTTATTTTCCTTCCTTGCAAAATCATGTAAAAAAAAACAACCATAACGTAACCTTATCCCCCAGCAAAGCCATACAGTATAAAGGGTTCCTCATAAGACATTCCAAACGTAACACCCTCCACCACCACCACCCCCCCCCCAAAAAAATTGGGTTCTAGATTCTCCTGTAAAAGCATGGATGTTGGTAAGGAGACTCTTGGAAAAACCAGCTTTGCGACTCATGACAAGGAGAGACTCGTCCCATTGGTAAATCTCAACAACAGAACCAAAAGAGCTGGCTTTTTCCAAGCCATGAGGAAGGACAGCTACCAGAGACCCAGAAATGTTCAAAATGCGACATGTCAGGCATAAATAAAGGCTTGGATGTGACTGTGCACATATATATGTACGTAAGGCATGTCTCAAATGGGTCCACAATTAGGAGGTACCTGAGTACAGTAGGTACAGTAGTAACTACATGTAAAGCCCCCTACATCATGGGTTTTTTATTACACATTCTAATCCAAGGATCTTTGCTGCTTTGCAGGAACACGTACATGTATAAAATCGTCACACATTCTACATGAACCAAAATTATCAGATTTCACCTCAAAACAATAAAACAGATTATGCTCAAATGTCAAAAATGGCGAAGCAGAGTGACCAGCGGCATAGCGAGTGGGGGGTGTGTGGGGGGTATTGCACCCCCCCATAATTCTTTTCAGTCGGCAAATAAAGGGTCAGTCGGCAAATGAAACTGAAATTGATGTCATGAATTAAATTGATGTACATCGACCAGTCGGCAAATTGACCCTGGCACACCACCCCCCAAAGAAAATGCCTTCGCTACGCCGCTGGGAGAGTCTTGGGTCCAGCAGACAGACAGCAGATGAGTATACATGTATGTATTTTCCTAGTTTTAACATCATGCTTACATAAAACCAAGAAATGACTTCACTGGTCACCAGATGCTGGTTCCCTGTGTACATGTATGCACAGGGAAAAGAAAGAGTTCCGCATATATGGACTACACTTGATGCCATGAGCCTTCAGTGTTTTCTAAGTAAATCCTTTAGAATTTCCTTAGCTAAATTGCACTCTTTAGCCTAGGACATGTTGTCACTTCCTGGTGGCCATAATACTGATTATAACCAGACATCTTAAGGCAAAATTGGTCTTGTCCTCATATATGGAACTCTTTCATAGATAGGTTTAATTTTGAAATCACAGAGCATGGAATAAATTGACAAACTGAGCGGTAAAATCAGTGAGCAGTGAAGACTACGGTAGCGTTTAAACTGCATGAATACATACACTCTATGCTTGGGAAAGCCCATGCTCATCAGAATGTCCATGGCGCTTGCGGCCGACTTCAGGCTGGCCTGGCGAATGGTGCGCCGATGGTTGATGATACCGGCCGCACTGGCCATTCCGCATGCGGTTTCGGTAATACTCTCTCGCTGTCAGTCGGCACAGTCGTCAGCAGAATTCTACGGAGGGAATTCTGACGAGCGAGGTATCGAATTACAGACCGGCTAGGGTTGTCCCCTCGCAAACCCGATCGTAAACACGCGTGGTGAGTGAATCAGGAAGTGGTGCCTGGTTAAATGCAGGAATGCTCCAATGGAATGGTGCCGCCTGATTGGCTGGATGCAGTTAGACTTATTGCAGTCCTTATATCGTTTTCCTCTGATTTGGTGAAATAAATCTCGAAATAATAATCTGCAAAAAGAAGTCGATTAGAACTTTACAAAATTAAAGTTCACAGACAGTTTAATTAGTGTTCCCGATTGAAGAGAATTCAAATGTATTCATAGTTGAATGTAGCAACTCAGTTCCTTCCAAAGACGGTAAGTGATCCACCAATTTCTTCAATCCTATGTAGGCCTACTTAGTACTCTGCTCGTCAAGCTAGTACTAGATGATTACGTTCCCATTTCAAGCACAGTGGGAGTAAGCATTTCCTTCCTCCGATTTCACACACCTAGCGTCACGCCAGTTCCTCTCTCCTGTCTATCGTTACTTTCTCATTCCTATGATGCCCTCACGTTAGTGCACTACTAACAATAACCTGGGAAATAATAGTCAAAATATCAGCACAACTTCAGTTGCGGTGGTCATAAGTTGGTGAAAATACTCACTTCAAAAGAATTGAATGGCGACAGAGTGGTCCAATGACACAGATTATGATCATTCTATTTTGTAATACAATGCTCAAAATTAAGCAATTAAGTAACAAGAACTTCCAAACGATTTCCGGTGAATTTTGGTTTCAACGGGGTGGTGCCTATGCGGGTGCCAGGACAGTTGTCTCATTTCGGTCTTAACTATGGTTAACACTGTGATCAAGAAAGGTATGTGAATAACTTCTCCTGAGGTTTTCCACATGCTGAATATATCAGGTGTACGAAGATATCAATATTAATTCTGTGTAAACCCGAAGCTGACACTGCCGCCGGAGTTTTGTACTAGAGGCGTATCTAGCGAAGGGTGGGGTGCTTGCCCCCAGATTTTTTTATCAAATATTAATAATATTCCATTTATCAAATATTAGCACCAAAACCCTACGAAAACAACACGACAAAATAAAAGCAAGTATATCTCGGGACTGAGAGTAAGGCTTTTGATTCCCCCCCAACATCATGTTGAATGAGACCAAAGCCGAAGTCTCCAATTTGCCTCCCCCCACCACCGCCACCACCACAAAAGCTGGATACCCGGCGGCTGGTGCCGGTTCTGCGGCATTCAGGCTTGCGAAATTGATTTCATTTTTCAACTGAAGTTCCTGTGTGCGCATAGTTTAAAGGCTCGCCAATTAGTAGCGAGGGACCGGTTATTTGGAGAAATCACTGTATTTAAAAATACTGGCAATAATCGTGCCGCTCGGAAACGGCTCCACCTGTTTTGGAACTGCGCCCTCTTCTGTTCTGGACTTTGATTTCGATACAAGTTTTCTTCTTGTTGAATCTGTGGGAGATAAACTGTGTATCATGTTAATGTTCGACATTGGTGGAGTTCAGGCATTGTTCTACCAAAGAGATCATTAGTTTTTGGAAATAGTATTCTTTGGGGCTTATAAAGTTTGTCAAGTCGACAGTTGTGTAATTTGAAGAATTCGGCGTGTCTCCTTCTACACTCTCCCAGGTGCAAGTTGATAAAGTATATACACCAAATTTGATTTTTATCTTGCAATGATAATCGACCGCCGGGAAATTTAACAAAGTGCATATTATTTTTTAAAAACTGATTGGTAAAAATAATTGCACTTCACAAAATTTCCCGGGTGTCGATTATTCCTGCAAGTTAAGAGTAAATGAAGTGTATATACTTTTGTCTGCGTATCTCTTCGAACTGACAATATGCTGTGTAGTGGTGTAACCACGTCACCTGGGGGGGGGACACGTGCCCCCCACACAAATCCAGGGTACCCCACAGGTGCCCCCCCCCCAAAAAAAGGGTGAATGGATATTGAACAAGGCTAACAAAAACTTGCCCCCTAAACCACACCTGTCCACTGAAAGCTGGTGCCCCCCACCCCCAAGATGCTGGTGCCCTCTTTGTGTCCCCCTCCACTAGTAAAATCCCAGCTAAACGTGACCACTGATGATGTGCTACTTGAAGCCGTGTTCCAATTCTGAAACAATTGAATAAATAAGGATATCCTGGGTGTACATGACCCTCACATGTGCGAGACGTGAGCTTCTTCTCACGCCGAAAATCCTTATCTACGAAATGCGCACTTGTACAGTGGTACCATTTAACAAAGCCAAACAATACACTCAACCATGTCACAGAGATGGACTTTATGGAACATCTTTGAAAGTGTTTGGGAAACCATACCGGACATATACTGCTTCCGTCGAGGATTATCATTCCAAATGTAACACATTTCTTTCATTAGTCTTTTCAAGGACAAGAACAAGGACCAAACGGATTGAAGTGGAATCTCTGTTCAGTTCGAGTCCCCTAAACGTCTTTTCCACCGGGCAATGCGCGCATCGCGTGGATGGAGGATAGATACGAAGCAGAATTGGAGTCAAAAAGAACATGCTTTTGCTAAATGGAAGGGGTTGTTTCAAAATCGAACGTGTTTTTTTAATCGAATGTATTTTTAAAAAGATCGTATTTTTTACTTTTGGAATGCATTTTTTAAAAACGGAAGAAATTTTATAGATGCAATACATGTTTCTTTAGACGAATGAATTTTTAATTAAAGAGCGGGTGAATTTGTATAGACGGAACATATTTTCTACATTGGAGTACATTCTTAAAGATTGATCATGTTTTCGAAATTCGACTCGATTTTACAAATCCAACATTTTCTCAAGATTGGAAAGAATTTTTAAAGTCCAAACATTCTTTAAGATTGGAATAAAATTATTGACTGTTATTTGACGAACGCATTTTACCCGAAATCCCATTTCGTCCGAATTGAGAAAGCATCCGACAGCATTTTCTAAAGCATCTGCGTTAAAAAATATCCAATATTTTTGACCCGATTTCTGCTTCGGATTAGACCCCTCCTCTTGATTAAATACGGGCGTTTCACGATGGTATGCCTCCCGATAGTTGGCAACGCACTGGCCAATCCTAAAGCGCGATATCTGTCGACCCACATGCGCGTTTGCAAAGGGTCGACAGATTTCGCGCGTTATGATTAAGTGGCGCGAACGCGTTGCAAACTCTTGAAGGCGCACTATTGTGAATCGCTCATATTGTTAGTTATAGATGGCAATTGGCGATAGGAGTGCGCTTTGTGCACCCGATTCTCATACCGTTTTTAGTGCTGACAAAAAATGCTTATCCCGATACCCTTCTTAACTAATCAAACGACTAAAACCATTAAGTTTTAAATGCCACATTTTATTCCAAGGTTAAGACCTGCAAACTCAATAGACAGCCCCAAAATGTAGACTGGCACGCCAAACGTGCCTTTTTACTTCTCCTGCTCCTTGAATTCCCACGGCTCAGTTCAGGATTTTTGGTCGCCTCTCTCACTGGACTGGCATCCCTCCCGCCTCCCTTGCGACGCCTGTGTCCACACTATCATCCCTCTTCTACAGTCACTTTGGTCACCCCCCCCAACTCACATACTGACTGTGTTTAGATCCGTAATATCCAATTACCACCCCCCGGAAGTAAAGTTAGAAACCAATAAGCAAACTTTCATCTTCATAGATGCAAATTTTAAAAATCAACGTCCCTCCTTTACTGGTTCAAGAATTTTATTAATACAAATCAACTTGATCTTGAATACATTGTAATGAAAAATTAAACCTTTAATCTTCACTATAAGAAATGGGAATTTCGATTCTAATTTGAAGGTTAATTTTTAATGTAGATGTAATCATGTATATTTTCTGGCCCCTTATCTTCTTCTCTAGTCCCCATGGCTTTTACTATGAACACGCGTTGGTTACGTATTTTCCAAAAAAATCACAGTGTATTGCCCGATATTATCCAATTACCTTAATATTTCTGCCATTCATGGCATATTTATGGCTTTTGATTGTTTCCTTTTGGGGTGATATTGAATGCGTTTTAGTCATTGGGGAGTCCAAGAAATCTTCCAAAGAAGCCCAATTCTTTGCTCATCACAAAAATGTGGGGAATGATTCAATACCCCCCCCCAAAAATGTCCTAATATTGCAGAAGCTATTTAATTAACACTAATAGCATTAAATCTAAAAAGTAAGGTAAATTCTCCAAAATGCATGTCAACAAGTTTCCACATAACACACGTAGCACAGAAATCCGGCAGGATTCATGACGAATCCCCGCTCCGGAAAACTTCCTAACCCGGCCTTCGCCATGTTAGTTGCACAGAAATGCTTCCGTCTGTGGTGTGTTCATCCAGTCAAAGGAAACAAGGTTAAAACGCCCGCCCTGCTTTTGTGACTTTCCACCTGTTTCTTTGTTGTGTGACTAAATTGATTGACTTTGACAGCACGCCAATGACGTCATATCCAGCAAACTGTTTCACTTTTGATCAGATACTTCATGCTAAGGAAAATACCATACAGGGCTAAGGGATAATGGTTCATGTACTACACGTTCGACTTATTTCTGTCGACAACAACAACGAAACATTGCGGTCGTGACGATGGATGACTCTAAGCGAAAGTATGACACGATGTGCGACAAAGGAAATGTGGATCGTCGTCTTTCTTGTCCGGTTGTATTGAAGATGCACGTCTCACATTTTGAATAAAGGCCAAATCCATGCCAGTGTGGTAAGTATCTTGTCATTAAGTTATTTTTACCGGGAAAAAACTTCACAGTGTTGTTCACGCGTTGTCATTCGACTGAAGACTTAATGATGTTGAAGTCTTCTGACTTTTTCCTCCTTTTCTGTCATGTACACGTACTGAAGCGAAAGAACCTTGCGTATTTTACAAAAAAGGTGGCAGCCGAAAAAGGAAGAAGGTTGGGAGAAAAAGTACTTCACTTTTCATTTCGGCACGTAGGCCTGTTGGTAACTTGAGGCGAATGCACAAGCAGAGTAAATTTTGAAGTCACAAAACATTCTCTTCAAAATTTTGCTGAAGTTGAAATTAATAATGGGCTCAACGTTTGTGAATTTGTAGCAACTACCTTGAATGTATTAAGACTGAAATGCAATCTTGAACCTTGCTCAGATTTATTGTGCGCCCTTCTGAGTTGATTATCCTGTGAATAGATATGGTTATTCCAAGGCAACTCAACTTATTGGAGTACAATAAATTCGTGCAAGGGTCAAGATTGCACTTGACAAATACAGTATTTGATCTTAGGTCACAGAATTGCAGTCATGTTCGAACTGGCCTACTTCAAGAATTCAAAGTTACTACTCCGCCGTACTCTGTGTGACTTTGAGCCAATACCGTTTACATGGTGCCGTAACACTATGGGTTTTGGGAATCAAACTTGATAGTTGAATGATTCACAGGCAAGGGGGAACAAAGCTATTCAATCAAATTTTCACAGCAATCCTGAGTAATCTATATATAGCTCTTCCAAAGCAGAGAAAAAGGTTTCAGAGCATGAGACCAAGTATTTTTTGAAAAAAAGGAGATTTTTGCTCACCAATGTCTCGCTTCCACCCACCATCGATAGCTCCATTCATGCCATTTTTTACAAACTTACCAGATTGCACATCCGTCGAGCCCACCTTATTATTTTCATCGCCAGACCGCCCTGGCATTCTGTGACCTAAAAATGCATTGTGTACCATCGGCACAAGTGACACGATGTCATCCCCACCTCCAAAAATGGTCAAACCAAGATGCGGAGCAAGTGCGGTCATTGGTGGGCTCGACACGTGTGCAATCTGATAAACACAAACGATATGAACTGAGTAATCGCTAGCGGGTGGAAGTGAGAGATTGGTTAGGAAAAGTCTCTCTTTTTTTTCATGCTCCGAATCATTGACCCCCCTCCTTTTAAGAGCTACAGATTGCTCAGATATGCTGTCAGGGGAAATTTTAATTGAATAAGCTTTGTTCCACCTGTGAATCATTCACCTACATGTATCAAGTTCGATTCCCAAAAACCTGTAGCGCTACAACACCGTGTAAACTGTATTGGATCAAAGTCACATGGAGTATGGCGGAATAGTGACATTGAGATCTCGAAGTAGAACTGGCCTACAGAAATTTTGTCATAATAGCAAGTAGTATGTATAGACTGCAACATGCCCGACGTACTCTCTGGTTTTTATATGTTGTAGAGTTGCCTTCAGTCATCAGTAGTGCCGCTGGCTTCAGTTACTTTACTCCTGGAACATGTCCCATGAGACAGAAGCCACACCAACACGCGAAGATGCTGATGATAGTTTTGTGTCCATCAACCTGGAGTCAAGCGGGCCATGCGACATCTGCGGCCTGGACACAGGGGAGCAGGTGGCGTCTGCCTGCCAGCTGTGCTTGGTGAGCTCCGCCCGCCAGCCCGTCCAGAAAGGCTTCAACCGGATGCCCGATCTGCTGCACGCCGGTGTGGCTGCCCACGAGAGCTGCCTGGCCCGGTCGCACCAGATCCTCACACAGGTGCAGCGTACCTACCACCACAGCCCGTTGCCGCACCGGCGGGGCACCAGCGTGCCCGGCGACTTCTCCTCCCTCGGCCTGCGCGACGCCGTTGGGGACCGGCTCCAGTGGATCGTCAACCAGGCCAAAAACGAGGACGTCAAGAACCAGTGGAACCGCTTGCAGGTCCACAGCAACCCCTGTACCCGGTCCAGCAGCCCCATCGTCTTCCGGGCCCTGACGGAGGACGCCCTCCTGAGGCGGAAGAGCGAGAACAACCTGACGGACGCCAGCTTCTTAGAGCTGCGGAAGAGCTACGCCCGATATCTTTACGGCAGCAGCATCCCCAAGTCGCACAGCGACGACAACGTAGGCTGTAAAACGGAATCCTGTCCAAGCATCAGTGTTACTAGCAGCAATGCCGAACCAAAGACCAAGACCACAGTGCCTTGTGAAAGTAATGTCAAGGGTCAGATGCAATCACCCTCAAAAACTGCGAAAGAGAATGCACTGCAGGACAGTGTACTCAGTAAACAAAGCAAACTTCAGGACTCCTCCAACAATAATAACGATATCCAGCTGTCCAGAGAATCCAAACTGAACTCACAACCGATACCAGAGCTTGGAAGGGAAAGAGCGGATGGAGGAAAAAAGAATCAGCGATGGAGCAACAAACAAAGAGTAGACAGAGATCAATGTGAGTACATGCATGGCCACTCACATTACATGAGGCTGTTCATTGTTAGGGCTGAGTCAATTCGAATAATCCACTATTCGAATATTCGAATCTCAATTTGATCAAATATCCGATTATTCGGTCGCACCAACTGGCAGATGGTTGATGAACAAACCATATACAAAATCAGTTGCAATCACACACACAATTGTACATTATGATCAATATAATCGCTTCTCACATCTAGGAGTATCTCCAGCCATGATTTAGCAAGAATTAAGAGATGAACAAGACTTCTTGCATGTTGAAAATTTCTAGTCCTTTTAAATATTGTCTAATGAATAATTTACTTTTTAAATTGTTGTATGATTTCCGTGACTTTTCATTTGAATCTGCTTGAAACAAGCCTCCATGTTGCACTTTTTCTCATTTAAAAGAAAAGAAAATTTTCCCTTCCTTTTCATGAATTTTGCATTCAAATATATTCAAATTCTAAAATAATATTTGAATATTTGACAATCAATCGAATATTCAAATCATCGGTGTAGCCCTATTCTTTGAAAGTGCTAGAAACAGGGAGTAGGTACATTATACATGTTTTTACATGTGTACTGTACCTCCTCTGCCTTTACCTGCTATCGTTTCAAACTCGAACCAAAGCCCAGGTCATCCTTTGTGCCAATACAAAGCAACTGGTGTCGCAAAGAATTTTTGAGGCAGAGCTGGGATATATTCTACCAAATTGAAGAAGCCAAGTTGGTTTTGGAATGAGGCAAGCTGGTCTTGGAAAGCCCCTCGCTGATATCACCCCAGCCAAAACAAAAGTGTGTTTGAGTTGAAGCATGGCCACATCCCAGGTGTACATGTAAATGCTGATAAGGTCTGTGCCCCTCTCTCCGTTCTCTGCACTCCCTGTGCCCCCTCCCCCCCCCATGCAGGCTTGTAGTGAGGGGGCTGGGGCACAGGGCACACCCCCAAATGATTTATTCCAGTCGGAAAACTCTTCGTTTGGCAAATAAATCCAAAAGTGGTACATAGGGGCCTAAACGGCATACTGTACGTTTGCTGTTGGAATTCCCCCCCCCCAAGCAGGAAATGTAGCGCATGTGGATTTCCATTTTACACAACAGGAGGTTGACAAACAAGTTACAATCGGCAAATTGACTTTGGCACACCCCCTGCCAACAAAAGACCTTTGCTATGCCCTGCCTCTCCCCATTCCCCACCCCCTCCCCCACCATTCAATATCTTGTACACACATGTACATGTACATGTATGCAACCTTTACAGTGTACATGGTGCATGTATATGTACATGTACATGTACGTTACCTACTCCTGTGAGCTGTAGTTCATTGACTTTCAATGCCCTCTGAAAAATTGTGCACCCCAGGGTGTCCCATAAATACTTCACCCTCGTGCACTAATGCAGTGCACATGATGCTCAGCGGTACGTTTCTACAGACGCGTACTGGTACCTTCCATAAACTGAAGCATACTAGTATTTTACTTATATTTTGTGTCATTTTCCCAGTGAACAACATGAGCCCGGCTGAAATCAAGAAAGTGGTTTTCAAATTGGAGCATATCATCAAAGGTAGGTTTACTCTCAGAACCAGGGGGGGGGGGAATAATATATGACAAGCCATAAAAGGAAGAGAAGGAATTCCTTCGGCGGCAGATGCTCAGTCACTTTCTTAGTTTAATGTTTAAAGGTCAGAAGATCTAGTAAACCGTTCATTTTTTCTAGCTCATCACCAATCCCATCTATGCCCCGTCTTGCAAAATTAAAAGCTTGGTCCAAGTTTCCTATTTCTTCTGACAACAAAGACACCAACACTCACTCTCAATTTTAGGTCTAGAGTTTGTTATGATGTGACTGGCGACGCAGTCAGTGCTTTGAGGAAATGCCAGAAATTCCATGCACTTTCTTTCATCATAAAAAAACCTACCTGTTTTCCTTCACAGTCTTGTCACAGTCGCTGTGGCAAAACATATACATAGTTTGTAAGTAATTATAGACTACACCACTGACACCAACATCATGTATGTCACCAAGTGCAGGGGTCATATTGGTATCAGTCAGTGAGGTCAGGGCTGTGTCGTGTCTGGTGACTTTGTCCTGACTATCCATCCAACCAGAAATTTGCGTTAAGTTTTCTCTCTGTATATATATATTTTTTTTTTCACTACAGCTTTCCCTTCTTTTTCAAGTCCAGTTTTCATCCCAAATGACCTGTTAAATTACCTTTAGCCTACAGGTATGCTGGACAAACAGCTAAAGACCTATGTACACTGACCCCAAGCCTGAACGAACACAGTACAATGTATATATGTGCATGCTTTGTACGCTAGACTTGCGTACATTAATTTACTGGCACTGTGTGACACTTGCACTCATACATGTAGCTGTGTACAAACAGCGCAGACATTTTTTTCAGCTTCCTTCCTGGTTGAACGCATCTACTTACATTTACTTATATCGTGTACATCAGAGAAGCTACGATTATCATAATGGGGCCGTACGAGTCCATTATATTGATCACAGCATTATCGAACAAGTGTACACATCTCCTTAGAGATGGGGCTTCTGTAGCATACGGCTGCAGTGTATTTGATTAAATTGAGACAGCTGCAGTAGGCGGCTGTTGGGAACGGCTTTTGGCTGTTGGGCTGATTGGTAATGATGGTTAAAGGAGCAAGCCATCCTGTGAATAGGTGTGATGCTGAGTTGCTGACTCGGAGTTGTTGGACAGTTGAACTTTAAATTCGTTCATTGGCCATTTACAAAAGGAAGGGGGGTGCAGGGACACAGTACATAATATACAAAAGAGTGCACGGGCCAGGCACCTCAAATGATGGCAAGCCCCAAATACGGGCTGGGCACGCTTTTCATGACAGTTCCTGCCTCGATCAAAAGTTATCAAATCACTGGTTCAGAACCAAAGACGCAGGCAAAAAGTAAAATGTAGCTCCAGAAAAGGGGGGAGGATATGATAGGGCACCTTTTCTGGATCTGTCTCTGAAATTGGCCTTGAAATGAAAATGATTGATTCCAAGTTGAATTAACCTGTACTGACGTATGGTGCATTAATTTACAACCAATTAGTGTTGTCCAAGATAACCTACATAGACATCTGTTTGATTCATTCCATGTACAAATTTTCCTGCAATGCGGAAATGTGAGAGAGATACTTGGACACTACCAGTTTCTAGGGTTACATTCCTTCCCTTTTTGCCCAACACACCCCACCTCCACTCCCACTCTAAGAATTGTGAGCAGCAGTTTCTGGGAATGTTGTCTGAATCCATTAGAGCACAAATTCAACTACGTGTAATATTATACACATACTGCAGATGTACACAAAGAGATGTGTATGTATTCTGTAGTCAATATCCTGGTAGACACATATCCCCATCTGATAATGCACTGCAGTTTAATGGGGCCTGGATTGATTCCTATGATTAAGCCTAAGAGGCTGGATGTGTTTACATAGGCGAAGGAGCTGACATAGACTGATATGAAACATTGCTTGGGTTCAGGGTTGTAGGCTGTAGTTTGGGCAATGAGATGGGAGGGGGAAATTGCACCCAGGGGAATATTTTGCCCAGTTGAAACTGTAAAAGCACCCTCCTTTTGTGAGGCGGAGAAAGGACTTTTATGGATAAAAAGAGATTGGAAAGTTGTCCCTTTTTAAAAGTGTCATAAACCAGTTGGACATTCTCGTTGCGCTGTGTGCATACATACATGTACATGTGCATGTAATTGAATGGAAAACAAGCCTTGGATTCGATGTTTGACCCTACAGTCCATGCGGGAAGTGAACCAGTTCACTTTTAGTTTATCTCTTCAGAGCCTTAATTTCTGAAGAAGCTACATGTGGTTCATGTATCTACATGTAGTCCAAGATGGATGCACATACATGTACATGTACAGTACATGTATTTCAAAGGGTTTATTGGATCCGATTTGTAAACTTGTGTCAAGTTGAAAGTTCACTTTGTTTCAGAGACATTTATTGAATTATTTATTAAGTTTACTTTCCAAATGGGTCCAATTTTCAAGGGCATAGCCCATCTTAACTGGACAAAATGAAAGAAGTCTGCCCTCATCCCTCATAAAGAGAAATGTCATAAAATTTGTGATATTTCCAGTGCCCCCATACAGGTGCTTGCATGCTAATGATGGATGAAGGGGACATGACACATTGCATTAATACAGTCTACATGTATGTAGGAGAGTGCATGGCATCATACATGGCTCACAGGAAATCTCCCCAGAAGTCAGTCACACGGTTTAACTTTGGGAGTTGAGCTTGCACATAATAATATACATGTAGATGTAGATAAATTCATGGGAAAATCCCAGATGGCCCCCATTAATGGCAGAAAACATAGCTTAAGGTTTTGTATGATTTTTGTAAGGTTTGATGGACTGACGTGAAGCAAAGTCACAATCACCTTCATTCGTTCCTCCCTCCTTCCCTTCCGTCATCCTCCAGATATCTCAGCAGAGCTGGTGAAACTCCTCCAGGAGCGAGACTCCCTGGGTCAGGAGGTCAAGGTTCGCAACCTTACTATCCAGAAGTTGGTCAAGATGAAGCACAGCCAGCAGGAGGCCCCAATCAAAACAGCCGGCGTGGGGAACATATGAAATCTGGGAAGGATCTTGTGTGAGTCATGGCTTTTTGACTGACTGTGTACACAAGCAGGCAAGGCGGCTATATCATTTAACTCTGACATGTTGGCATTGCCTTTGTGTACAGGTAGCAGCTTCAGAATGTGGGTAGCTGCCAGCCATTGCCTTCTATAGGGACATGTGTTGTAATGCCAACTGAAGCACCAACTTTCAAACCTATACTTGCATCATTAGTTAGGAAAAACTGGATTTGCCATCTCTGAGAAGGAGCCTCTGCCTGAACCCTAAAAGAGCCGGGGGAGGGGGGGTGGAATCTGCCCCCTCAACATTTTCTCCGATTTCGCTGTGGTGCATTTTTTTTTGAAGTTGAGCCTTTAAGAGTTTTTTTTTTCGCAAAAATATAAAGTACCGTTGTCACGCAGCGTGCATTTTTCCGAGACAGGTCAGCCAAAAATGCATACTCTTTTCCACTGGGGTGGTCAATGCACACTTACTGGCACACATGTCGCCCTGACCTTCAAATGACCCAAACAACAAAACCATATGTCTGATTGAGTTCAAACTTCACTGTTGTAATGCTAAGGAGTGTCTGTACATGCATGGTAAGTTTGAAAAAAGTTGGGAGTAGAACAGCCGAGTTCTTGGGGGGGGGGAATTCCCTCCCCCGGCTGTGAGATGAGTCAAAATAACCCGGCTCTTCGAGGGTTAAGGTGCATACAGATTACAGGTAGCTGCAATCATTAGTATTTGTTACAAACACAAAATGCGAAGAAAAGAGAGAAAATTCAAGATATAATTTATGCTGGACAATTATTACAATTACAAGCATGAGACAAATGTTTTTCAATTTCATAAAATTTGACAGCTTTTCTCTGTCATTTGTAATGAAATGATGATATCAACAACGTAAATGAGGTCTTGTCTTGGATGAATTTGTATTTTAATAAGAGCAAGACTCTT